ACTTTAGGTTACGAGGCTTAGGTTTTGATAACATTAAAAATTTGATTTACAAAAATCAATATGTAAAAATAAGTATTTAAAAAAATATCAGTTACGAAATTTTGATGACTTGTTTTTTTTGTTCAAATACGAGTATGTTATTTGATTTAAAAATAATTTTTATTAGTTGAGACAGGAATTTTTAGATAACCTATTTATCCAAAAAATGTATTTTGAAAAAATGATACTTACCCTGCAAGCCGGAATTCACGACGAAGTATTTTAAAAATACACAAAAATATTGCATATTTTCTATTACTGGGTAACCCCTCATTTACAGTAAGCACTGATTCACAGAGAGAATACAAAAATACTGCGTATTATGAATAATTCGCCATGATACTATCTTGGTATTGTGCCGTTCATCTTATACACTATCCTGGTACTTGTGTCTCACTGATCACAACTTAAACTCAAGTATACCCTTGCCATTTCCCGTTGGTATTACCAATGAATTCTTCTTCTTTTTTAAATTTCATAATTATCACCTTATTCTTTTTTTAATGACTCTGCAAATTTTATTTAATTTACTATTCTATAATTTTTACCATCTGGTTACATTTATCCTGCTTCTCAGTTGGTCCCTTATACAGAACCCCTTCACTACTGTCACCAAATTTTACCTTACTTTATTTCTTTAACTCAATTGTTCTAATGGATATTTGAACTCATGGTTATCGCTATCTTCAAATATTAACGCTGTCTTTTCCCGAGATTGCACTTCTTTAATTTCGATCTAGAACATACTTATAATACATTAAAACGAATTTTTGTTTATATTTCCCATTAATAATTTTTTCCCCCCGTACTATTACTATGTTTGCATTTTGACTCCAATATGATTACCTTTCCATGAGCAAATATACTTACTATCTTAATTAACCAAAGAATTATTACATAGTGTGGCATTCCGGTGTATTGCTTAAAAACTTGGTGAATGAGGGGGAATTAAGATTTTTTATAGATTATTAAAAAGTATGATAAAATAGATTTTTCTTTTATTTATCTATAAAAAATATATTTAAAAAGAAAAATATTTAAAAAATAAATGGGTAAGTCGACGGGGCTAAATAATCGATATTCTTTGTCGCATGCTAAACCCCTTTTTTGGATCACCTTTGATTTCGTAACCTTTATACTATTGTTTTGAATAATTTTAGACTTGGAGTCCAAATGATGCACAGGTGTCTGAAACAACTGGAATAAGGGGACTAAGATCATCCCATCTCATCTTTATGTATATTATATTTTAAAAACAATGTAACAAGTTTAACACCACCAATATCTTTACATATTAAAATATATATAAATATGTCATTTTCATTGGGCTGTATTTTCTTTTAAAATAATTTTATTTCCCCAGAATGATTTCTTTTCCATTTTTTTACACATGAATCTGTATTTCTTTCCTAGAAAATCCATTAATATCTATGAACATTCATTTTGACAAATTGATCAAAATCATAAGATGAAGCTATTTTTACAGGATATTGGCAATGGGTCAACCCTGGGAAAAATGTTGTTATTTGGGTGAAGGCAGAGATATGTATTCTGCTGTTGTTGCAAGGGTAGACCAATTTCAGAGAGGTGTCTATTCCAAATGGAAAAGTTTACGTAGGCTGTGAAGAGTTGTATAGTCTATGGTCGTCATTCATGGGCAATGAAATGGGTTTAATAGGATAAATTGGAAAGAATAGAGATGAGGATGATTAGATGGATGTGCGAGATATCTCTGTAATAAAAAAAACTAGGGATTAGAATGGTAATGAGAAGAAATAAATTGAGAATATGGAAAGACGAAGTATGGATGCACCTCTATGAAAGTAGGAGATTCAAGAGCCTAAGATAACGTGGTCAAAGATGATAGTGGCGGATATGAGAAAAATGAATCATACAAATAGTGATGTTTAAAAAATAGAAGGGAAACTCTTACCTATGTAAAACTAGAAATCGTAATTAAACGGAGAAGAAAAAGAATAAGAGAAAATAAATTAACATACCTTGATTGATTCAATATTAATTATATTAACAATCTTGACTGTATAATTGTATCCCTTTTACCTCATAGTCATTCTTCATCCGTCTTCGCAAGCAACTTCATTACTAAAATTCCAAATATTAAATAATCACCATTCAACTGATCAGCACAATTTCTTGCCAAAACGGATGGTTTAGACTTCCTCCCACTTAATCTTCTAGCTTTATCATCCATCTTAATAAATTTCTCTATTATCTAAGACTTCATATCCCCACCGACTATTTATTGTAAGACCCAACAAACAGATGGGTGGTCAACACACCCCCAAACACTCTTTCCCCATCAATTCATCATTCAAAAAACCTTTTCATACCCTTAGTACTCAACTTACAATCAACCATAGCAGTCAATCCACTTTTAAACTGTATCTAACTTCTACAATCAAATGACAGATTTGGTGATCACTATATCTACAAAAATACGAATCGAATATTAGCATCATTCGAATTAGATTGGTATTTTCGAATCGAATAATTCCTTATTCATATTCGTATGAATAATAAAAACTTATTTGATTTGATTCGTCGAATATTCAATTCGAAAAATAAATTCTTCAAGAATATTTTCAAAATGAAAAATTTTTTGAATGAATCTTTTTTTTAAATTTGTGATTACATTCCATCTTGAAGGTTTCTGATGTAAATGATAAAAGATTTTTTTTACTAAACATATTTGGAATTTTAGGTTAATTTCTTTAAAAATCTTTCGCCTTCAAAATAATCTTCCGATTTTTGCTATAAAGATTTTTTTTAAACTCAGGAAATATCAGATTAAAAAATTTTAAAAGTGATTTAAATGTAGAAACTAAGTTTAAAAAAAATATAAGTTCCATAAGGAATATATCAGAGACCTGCAGAGGTACCATTTGCACGGCCCGGCCCGGTTTTAAATTTTTTAGGCCCGGCCCGGATATTTTTAAAAAAAAATTTTTACGGCCAGGCCCGGATATTTTTTTAAAAAAAAATTTCAGGCCCGGCTCGGAATTTTTTAAAATTATATTCGACCTGGTATATACAAAAATTCACCTATGAGGTATTTTACCATATTTTTCAGCGAGTATTATCGCTTATTATTTAAAAAATACATGTAAAAAGATAATATTTTGAGAATATTATATTTGAATTTATAAAACTGTTATTTATAAAAATGGATATTTTGAGCATATATACTATATTTTATATTGCATTTATAAAAATAAAACTAATATTCATAAAAATGGTAATAATATTTGTCATATACTATAATTACATTTAAAAAAAATAAAACTAATAATTTATAAAAATGGATATTATTTTGAGAATATAATATATTGTATTTAATTTACAATTTAATTTATAAAATAAAAATAAATCGCTATTTAAAAAAATGCATGTATAATAAATAGTATTTTGAAAATATAATCTAATTGCACAATATTAATATAATTTATTTTATAATATAAATTTTTAACAAAAGAAGATAATTGTATTATATAATATTGTAAAAAAAAATAATGAAAAATGTTGGATTAAAAACTTTCATGACTCAAGGTAAATATAATAAATGCAATAAATATTTGACAGTTTGCAAAGTAAAAAACCAGCATGATTGACGAAACCCTATACTCAAGAAACATATTAAAAATTCACAAATTATCATGAAGAAAGAGAAGCATATCTACCTTTTCAGGTTGAAGATTACTTCTTCTTTCTTCAAGAATTCTCCCAGTAGTGGAAAAATTCCGCTCACAGCTTGCACTTGAAGCAGGAATTGCCAATACCCGTTATGCCAATTTTGCTAAAATTGGAAATGGGCCAGATAACTTGTGCAAAAATTCTTGGAGGACCAAAGAGGGTCTGACTTTACAGACCTCTAATTGAAACTTTCTATACCAGGTAAAATCATGTATCAATGTTTAACATGTTCAGGGTAGAAAACTGGATGATGTTACTGAATTTATAAATAAAACAAATAAAAAAATCTTTGCCAATCATTAAAATTAAAATTAGATTTTTTGGAACATTTACATTTTTTTTACTTCAGGATATCAATTTATAGGCTTAAACAAATTTATATTTCCTATTTGGGATGCATTTTTCGAATAGATTTATTGTTTTACTATAATAATATTTGTAAAAATTAGGTATTTTATTGGCTGAAAAAACCTGACCACTTATTGGTTAAATCTAGTGCTGTAAAGTAACGTCGTTACGTTGGCGTTTTGTGGAAAAGAAATTCCATCGTTGTTTCAAAAGGTAACGAGTAAAGTGTTTCGTTTTTCAAATGGTAACGCAATACGTTAATTTATTTCCTAAAAATTATTTTATAAATAATTGAAACCGAGTTTTTCATTCAATCATCAACGTTCTTAATTTTTATTTATTATATTTTTGTTGTACTTTATACAATCAAGATTAATTTTAAATCAAGCAAGATATTTTAATTTATATTCTCAAATATTATCATCATTCTTTAAATATTTTTTAATAAATTTCCCCAAACAAATATTTAATCATTAATTATTATACAACTCTCCTACCCTTTGCACCATTAGAACGTCATGTGTTGAGCACTAAATGCATTATTTATCTGATCAAAATTTTGAAAATGAATTGTTAAAATAAATAAAAATGATATTATTTTATATATTTATTTTTGTATAATTTTATTTTCAAAAAATAATAAAAGGAAATAAAGTACCGAATAATGCACTTTTCTTAATAGCAAGAAGGTAACGAGTATTGGTAACGCGTTACTCTTTTATTAAGATTTACTTTACAGCACTAGTTAAATAAAATTTATCTGAATAGAAGAACAGTCAAGGTCCAAATTTTTATATAATAACTATACCACGCGAAAATTTTAGGTTATTATTTCCATCTTGTTATATATTGCTAAAAATTTTAAATATAACTGAAATCATTAAAATTAAATAAAAATGACCTTTTAGACCTAATTAATACTTTATTATCAATATCTATAAAAAATTTATAAAATAAAATCGTATAAAGATGGAGTTAAAATTATAATCAAACATGATAAACAGCAATATATCTTCAAGATTAACTCTTATCTTCTCCTAGTAGGCTCAGTAGCAGTTGGGGGTGGGGGTGGACCTCTTCTAGACAGATCTCCAACGTAATTATTCAATATTTCTTCTCTCTCTTTTTCTAGACACTCCAAAATAAGATATCTTTTGTCTTTCGATAATATTTTTTTAACATCATCCAAATGCTGTTTATTATCGCTGATCATTTCTTTTGACCTAATTAACATAATAAAGGATATATTAAAAAATAAATATTAATAATGAATAAAAGTTGAAATTCAAATTTATAAATACTTGTAGGTTATAAATTTTGTCTCCTTTAATAATTCTTTAAATTCAGATTGAGCGCTTGATGTCCTATCCTTTAAATACTCATCAAACTCTTTTTCCCTTTTCTACAGGCATATAATTTTAATAAATTTTTTTTTAAAAACCTTATCGCTACTGGAAAATTTAATATATCGAGAATCTTCTTTGATCAATTTCTTTGCAGATTTCCATGGTGTCACAAGAGTGATCTTTATATTAAAAAAAGATATAGAAAGATTTTAATATTAATATTACATCCTTCGTCTCGGCTAATAGTTGCCTAAATTTTTCACGTTTTTTCTTTGTCAATATGTCAATATGTTCTTCAAAAAATCGTTCTCTTTCATCCCTATCTAAAATCTTACAAAGTTCCCATCTTTGATCTTTTTTCAATACCTTTTTAGCATCTTTCCAATCGTCATCAGCTTTTTTAACCTAGACAATCATTTATGAGAATAATTTAAATTATAAATCAGTATTATATTTGTAGTATATATTATGCATCAGATCTATCTTTTAAGGTTTGACCCAATACGAGATAAAATTTTTAAAAAAATTTCCGAATGATTTAATTTTTTTCAAAGATCCGAAACCGAAATTTATCTTAAATATAGATCCAAGTTTAATCCTAATTTTTTTATCACTGTTGAAAACGTAAAATATTTCAACGAAAGTGAAAATATTCTAAGTATTAAAGAAAAATAAAAAAGTTTTATTATATTTTTGAAAAGAATATTTACAAAAACCAATACTAGTACTGCTACTTTAAAAAACAGCCCCCTATAGAATAAATTAATTTATCAACTTTACCAAAAAAATAGTGGGTTGTGACTAGTGTTGTTAAACGGCTCGTATTTTTTTAAAGGGCTAACTCAATATTTTAGCCAGATAGATATTGGCTAAGCCTCGAGCTTTCGATAATATATGTCTAGATCTATGTTCCTTCTATGAGCAAAATCTTCAGGCTTGCGTAGTATTTTTCTGGATGAAATATTGATTTAGCCGTTTTTAAACATCGGCTCAAAACGAGGCGTTTAACAACACTAGCTGTGAACATAGTCAGAACATTTTTTAAAGCGGTTTCTGAGGCATGTTTCCAATAATTTTTTCTATTTTTAAACAAAAAATAATAGTTTGTCTAATTAATTTATTTTATAATATATTGTTTATAAAAAAAATTTGATAATTCGAACTCAGGTATCAAGTTTTTTTCTAAATATTATATTAGTGATCTACATCAGGCCTAATTTCCCAAGTGGCTAGGTTCTGAACGAATTTTTTTTTATTTGTCCCGAAATAAAAATTAGTGGTTGACCCGGCCCGAATTTATTTAAATAATAAAATAAAAAATATTAGCGCCTTGTTTCTTGCTTAAAATATATCAATTTATTTGGCAATAATATATTATATTCAAAAAACCGACCCAGCCCATTTTTAAAAAAATTAGGCCCAACTAGTTGTTGTTAAAAAGTTTGATTTGGGTCGATTTTTCAAAACTGCCCGATTAAAATTTTATCCAAAATAATATTATGTAAGCATCGAGATTTGGCAAATAGATGTCCAAGCATCTGCCAGCAATGAGCAAAATTTGTAGGCTTACATATTGTTATTTTGGTTATAATCTTAATCGGGCTAAAATCTAACCAAATCGGACTTTTTAACAACACTAGAACCAACCGAACCCCAAATCGTTCAGGTCGGGCGGGCCGTGATTCGCAGATCTTTATATTATATTATAAAAATAAGTTTATTTGACAAATTATTGTCCTTTGTTTGAAATTGGAAAAAAATTAGATGGAAACCTCTTAGAAAAAACTTTCCCTGAAAATAACCAATAGTTACTGTTTATAATTAAAAAATTATTTTCAAATCAATTTTTTTAAGGCTAATAATAAGAATAGTAGCCACAATTATATAATTTAATTTGTAAATGAAATCTCTAATAAATAAAATAAATATAATCCATTTTATATTCGCTTTTAAGAAACGAGTTTCTCAAAATTTCAACTAGCAAAGAACATAGGTAAAATTCCATAAATCGACTTTTTAATTTTGATAAAATTTTGCATACAAGAGAAAACATCATTAGAAGGCATTGAATCCAAAATTTCCGTCTTAGTACTAATAGTTCCAGAGATGTAAGATATAAATTTTTTTCGTAGAACAAAATAACAAAGGGAAATTAAGAGAATATAAACAGAAGAAAAACCACAATTCTCTTTTAAAAATAAAAAAAATAAATATCATCAAAAAATTTAAAACGTGAGATGTTCTTATTTTATTAAGTGATTTTGTTTTTAATGTGGTGATTGACGCTCCTCAAACAATTTATTTTTATTTAAAGTTTTCCCTCTTTGTTCAACCTTTCATTAATTTACAAATTTTAGTGAAGTATGATATTGATAATCTCAAAGAATTAGTTATATAACGAATATTATTTATGCCGTGATATCCTTTTCATAAATATCTTTAAAACGCGAGATGTTCTTAATCAGGTGATTTTGTTTTTAATGTTGTGATTGACGTTCCTCGGTCAGCCTAATTATTTAATTTTTATTTAAAGTTCTCCCTCTTTATTCAGTCATTCACTAATTTAAACATTTTTAGTGTTATTATAATTACGAATAGTGTGTTTCATTTCGATTTCAAGTTTTAAATAAATGAATGCAAGGGAGAGATTTGTGGATTTGAGCATATAAAATTTAAAAAATATCTGTTTTATTTATTCAAATATTGATAATTTTTTTCAAAGTAGTTTTAGCTATAGCTACTCGAAAAAAAAAGGATGCTATTAATTAACTTTTGTAAAAATAGCATTGCTATTGACTGCTGCTCAAAAATGTCACATTCCCACTGTATAGCACACTACTTTAACAACATTGATAAAAATCAGAGGCACCTGTAGAGGAAAGATTTGCAAGTCCTGGCCCGAATTTATTTTAAAAAAATTTTTTTAGTCCTTTGAAAAATTAAAATACTGATAAAGATACTAAGTAAATATTAAAAATTTGGTGGGAACTGAGTTCTAAATAAATTTTAAATTCAAGATGTAAATCTGGACTCAGATCAGTCAAAGGCTTATGTATAGATAATATAAATATGCCAATTTGTTAAATAATGATTACCAAATCTACCAAGAGGGCTTTGAATTGCTGAAGTGCCTCTTCATGTTTATGAATTTCTCTTTCTCTATTCCGATCTCTTAAGTGTTCTGATAGGCTTTCTTTAACTTCCTTTTCCCTCTTTTTAATGCTGGCTTCCATACGTTCTTGTTTTTCTTTTTCTTCATCAACTTCCTATATAAATAAAAAATTATATTTATAGTAATTTTTCTGAGGTTCAAAAATTGCACATATAGGTTACTTTTTAAACAACAAAATATTTATAACTGTAAAAATAATAAATCGTATAAATCAATATTTTTCATAACGAATACACAATTAGAACTTAAACAAAAATTCTATAGTTTGAAACTATAAATTACCAAAAAACACATACATATATATATTTATATAATTTAAAGAAAAAAAATATAATACATTGTTATACTTCCATTATTTATGATATAAAATATATAAGGTTTTTTAAATTACTTAATCACTTAAATTTGTATAAAAAAAAACCTATTAAACATGAAAACATTTATATCCCCCTTAAATATAGACTCTCAATCTAAATAAAATATAGAAAACACGATTTAATATCATGGGTTTTATAAAATTCCGATAAAATTGTTAGTATACTACATAGATTGGAACGTATAACTTTAAGGGGGATAAAGATCATGATAAATTCTTCCTAAAGTTTCTAAACTTCCCCGTCTAAATTCATATGTATTGCACCTTAATAAGTTAAGTTACTTAGATGAGTGGGAGATTTATACAAAATATCTTACATAAGACTTCCCAATCTAATAAGATATTTGTGAACTGACTGCGAAAAGTTTAAACAACGTCATAACTTTTAAAATTATATTTTTGGAATATTTAGGCACCAAAAGTGAGTCCAAGCTTGAGCTAAAAAGCCATACGAGATGTAATTAATTTGTATATAATATTATTTATAATTAATTAGTAAAAACATATATATAACCTTTTTTAAATAAGCTTACTTAAAGAATATATGTAATTTAATTTTTTAAACTCAGCTGTTATAATGAGCTTAGAAATATAATTTGGGTACTTAAATTAAAATACTTATATCTATCTATGCCAATTCTCCTTATTCAATCGTAAATAAATTAATATGACCATAACCTTTGTGCAGTAGCCTGCGTTAATAAATAGAACATTGTATAATTTGTAGATGATATGTACATTTATAAAATATAAAATATCGTGTTCATTGAAAAATATTTAACTTAATGCAAGGCTTATTTATAAACTCCACTTAAATTACTATATCATTATTGTTACTAACATCTTGCACAAAATAAACTTAAACTGTTAATTTTAATATAATACTCTCTAAATAAAATGAAATCATATAATTAAAATTTTGATATAATGTAAATATCTAAACCAAGGTATTCAAATTGGTAATGTAAAATATATACAACAAAATATCCTGGATTGAAAGACAAACTTTATTTTAAATAATACATGATTTCCTATTCAATAAAAATTAACTTTTAATTGAAAGAAAAATATTTTCAGAAAAAAATAAAATGTTACATATTTTAAATCAATTGATAATAATTTTGATTATTAAAAGAAATACGTCAATCTACACCTTATAAAGATCGTTAAACCAATCAAAAGCACATGATATAATTTTAGTCAAATCACCCTAACCAACTTCATATTAACTTGAGTGCTAGCTGTACACAATGCTGTAAAAACTTTAAGAATGCCAGATCATCAGAAACACCCCCCCCTATCAAAAATATTAGGGACGACTAGGCTGATACATATTATGAACATTAAATACATAACGACTCGGGATTTACATGATAGTGAATCTTGTTTTCATACTTAATTTATTACTATCAAAATTATTTGGAATAGCCTGATAGTTATCTATTCGGTTAAATATCAAAGAGCAAACAAAATATTTTTATAAGTAAAAAATTTGCCTTATTCATTAACAATTTTTGCTTATCCTTTTTATATAAATGATACAGGCGAGTAATCAATTGATTAAAATGTATTATTATTCATTTGCTGAAATAGATTATTATTTTAACAATTAAAAACTATCTTAATTGAATATAAAATCGTGTAGGTTAAATGTATTAATTAAAAATGCCAATAATATGAGATATAAAACATAATGTTGTTAATAACCTTGATTTAACAAAATTTAAAAAAAAGGCAAATCAAAAATATCCTAAGGCTTGAGATTTATAAAAATATGACTTTAGCCATTTTTAAGAATCGACAAAATCTAAGTCTTTAACAACACTAGAATTATACGAGTAAAATGTTATTTAAATCGATGAATAAGAAATAATTTTATATCAATTTGTCTTATTATAAATAAATCGATTCAAATTTTTTTTATAAATACAATGAAAAACTATTAAGAATAAGTATGCACGGTATAGTATATACCTTATTAACCAATGTGGAGATCTTGACGTCTTTGACCTCTTTTTTATTACTTGAACTGCTAGATGTTTTACCCGTTTTATCCTTTTCCTTCTCTTTATCTTTCTCCTTTTCCTTCTCTTTCTCCTTGTCCTTTCGATCTGGATCGTTAAGGTACTCATTGAAAAGGTCCTCACGTTCGCGTGTTTTAGAGACGGCCTTAAAACGTTCATCCTTGCCGTATTTGTGGCTTACGTCGGCTAAAGTTAGTCGCCTGTGTTGAAATTTAAAAATTTAGGCCTATGCCCATTAAAAAAAAATTCAAAACCCCAGGCCCAGCCCAACCCGGTCCGGATATAATGGGCCAGCCCGGCTCATGAATATCTCTGCTAAGCATTTTATAAATTGAGCTATGTCTTGCGATTATAGTTCTCGCTAAAAATAGAAAAATTACCAAACCATACTTCTCTAATACATTTAATAAAACACATATATAAAATAAACACGCAATAACGACTATATATGTTAAATAATGTATAATTTTTATATGAAAAAATGATATACTTGGAATACACCTTGGCTTCTTCCAACAGTTTGAAGAAGTCGATCTTAACTTTCTTCATTTTCTTTTTCTTTTCCTTCCTTTCATCTTCAGCCCTTTCTTTAACATACTTATCAAATACCTATATAATATATAATTATATTCTTTTGTTATATAAAAAATGATTAATACTAGATTAAATAATTAATCCTTAAGATATTTATAGTTCAATAGAAACTGGTTTAAACCAAGCCCAAATATCATGTTGCAATATTCTCTCCTGTTCTTTATATATTTTGGAATTTTATTATTATAAAATACTTAAAAGACACACTAAGCGCTAAGTAAAGGTAGTCATATTATTATTAGACCCATAAATATTTGTATTCATATTATATAAATTGTTATTTTCGAAACTTGTTTGCGTTCCTTTGAACTAAGCAAAAGATATCGTGGATCAAATACAATTTTGTGCAATTCCTTTTCCCATGTTGAATACGCTGAAACCTATAATAAAATACAATAAAAATAATCTCATTTGTCAGTGACAGTGAGTGATAGTGTACCAATATTACAATCGAATTTTTCGTTTATTCGAATAATATTTACGAATATCAATTCAGATTATTGAAAAAATTATTCATATTTGAATATTATTCATTAATAAGATTATTAATTTGAATGAATAAATAATTTTAAAACTTTTAAGCCCCATTAATTACCAATCATTATATAAAATATGGATTACTAAGGAATAGAGATATTATCTCCAAAAAAAACAACGGTCATTATAAAACTCTCAGGGTTTACAATTCTCATCATTATAAATTTTGATAGACGTAATCTATCAAAATATTTTTATGATTGAAAAAAAAATAAAATATTATTTTAAAAATTTCGTAGAATTTTTAAAAATAACGGTTTTTAAATATTAATAAAAATTTTAATTATTTTTTGAAAGAAGGGTTTGGAACCTTTGTGATTTTAGTTCTCATAAATTTTTACATGGGTCCTGGTTTTAAAATTCAAGATTTATCATAACTTATTTAAAAGAATGTGAAGTAAATTTAAAAAATATTTATTGAAATAATAAAATTACCATTCCATAAAATCAAATTGATAGCTAACCTTTTAAATTTTGATAAAATTAAGCATACTGAGATAAAATCATTAGCAGACATCGAATCCAGTTTAGCCGCCTGGTACCAATGGTTTCTGATATATCAGAGGTCAAAAATGCCAAAAAAACTTTTTCTATAGAAATAGATTTCTAAAATTAAGGTAAATTAAAAATAATAACTCTAAAGATAAAAACTAGATGTCATTTTGTAGCGACATTTTAGTAATTATAAAAAAAAAATAAAGGATTTTTTTTAAAGAAAAATATCAGCATTAAATAATCTTAAATGATATTGTTTGACATTATATTAGATTTTAGAGATCATAATACCTTTCTCTTATAAATAATATAAGAAATATTCTATATTTCTGAAAAATTATTAAATAAATGTTGGTAAATCTTGTTCTTAAAAATGAGTTATTTTATAAAAAGGTGCTCTCTTTTTTTCAAAAAAAAATTGTAATAACTAAACCCTTGAATATCTAATGAGATCTCAGGTTCAAATAAAAAGTGCAACTATATTTAAAAGAAATATTTTCATAATCGCTAAAAGATATTAAGTAAATCTATAAAATGTAATCTAGTTTTTATTTTTTAGGTGATCTCAATTTTTAATATAACATTTATCTAAAAAAAACATTTCTGACCCCTGATCTCTCAAAAATGTGATATTTTTAATATGCAAAATTTTATCAAAATTAAAAATGTTGGGTCGTAAATTAATCGAATTGGCATAGAATACATCCATTATGTTTTGGCCATATTTTTAATTTTCTAATATTTTTGCAATATAATTATATCAAATCTACAAGTTAATTTTTTTTATTTAATAATTAAAATGCATATAAAAACCCATATAAAAAGACAATATTCATAAATGATTCAAATTCTCAATAACAAAAAATGGATAAAATAAAAAAAGGGAATATAAAATTTTAAAAAATTATTATAAATTAAAAAAAGAAACTAATGAGGAGATATTCTAATAAAAAACTAATGTAATTGATTGGAAAAGTCTTGTCATTTATAATATCATCAGACCTGCAGGAGTTACACGGTCCGGATCGTACTTTAATCGTCAATATTAGCTATAAAAATTAAAAATATATTTTAAAAAATCAAAAATCCGGGCCGTGCAAATGCTACCTCTGCAGGTCTCTGGTATACATAGACAATTGGCGTACGCAGAAGCCAAAAAATTCAAAGGCCGGCTAAAATATTTTTCAAAAATATTACTGTTGTATGATTAGAATATTTATTCCTACCTATTAACGCATATAAATATTCCAATTTACATTAATTTATGATATTCAAAGCAGAAAAAAACACGCTACTGATTTATTTCCTTGACGTTATATTTATGTATTATTTAAAATTTCAAATCTAATCATTTGAAACTTTTTCCCTATGAAACGAAAGTAAAATATTTCAAAAAAATGAGATTTCATTGATACTATGAGAATAACTGAAAGCTTCTATTGGAATTTAAGGAAATTAGGGAAAATGTAGATGAAGAATTTCATAAATGAATTTATTTGTCTATCTTGACTGGAACAAGGCAAGCCCATTGTTCTAATAAATATAGTCAGTCGAAGAATACTATAAAATAAATCGCTTTGGATATTTCATAACTCAAATGAATAAAAGGTCCTTGATTATCAGGCAGCAATTACAAATCTACAAATTTTATTAAAGCAGATTCAAATCCAATTCAAATCTTGGTAGAAAAGAAAAAATGTTGGCTGATTTTTATTGCGAAGATGTTAAAATATCTCATGATACATTACTAACTGAATGCAAACTATTGTATAAAAGGTTACATATGGTTGATAATGCTCCAAAAAATGCTATATACTTGGAATATTTTCAAACACATTTTGGACATATTAAAATTATTATATATTTTGGCAACTCTTCTCATTAGTACTTCTCCCAATGAGAACATTTTCTTCTTTAATAATAAAAACATTCCTGAGAAGTAGTGTTGTTAAAGGGCTCGATTTGACTCAATTTAAAAAGAGCTTACTCAATATTTTAGTCAAAAAATATCCGATACTTGACTAATAAATGTCCAAATCTTTGTGCCATCTATGAGCAAAATCTTCAAGCTAGCGTAATATTTTTCTGAGTAAAATTTTGAGTTTGTTCTACTATGAAGTACTGCCTCTGAAAATAAATTGAATGACTTAGCCCTTCTTAATATACATATGGAATTGACATGGGCGCGGATTAAATCGTTGAAAAATTAGGTCAATCCCAAAGATTAATTATAGTTTTCCGCATTTTTATATCCTTAATTTATAATTGTTTATAATATTCTTCTTAATTATATTTATTTATATTTAAATTTGTGTATTAGAAATTGACAATTTTTTTATAGTCACTAGTCCTAATAAATTTCTGAAACTTAAGATGTTCTTAAATAGCTCCTATTATAATTTTAAATAAAATTTTAATTATCCCCCCATCTTCATAGAAAATTCATACGTACTCACCTGACAGACTGTTAATCTTTATCGATTTTGTGAAAATGATGAAGATATACAGAACCTTCAATATTTGTATGATAAAAAATTACTCTTTATAAAATAATAAGTCTTAATTTTTATCGAAACATGGTCAAAATATTTATTACATCAAAATATTTTAAATGGTTCTGAGATGAGTATTGACATATAATAATTTTACTATTTTTAATTTTTAAAAAAATATGTATTATGGCATTAATTTTATTAAAAAATATATATAAATAATTAGGTAAGATTATGGTTTGTGGCCATAATCACCATTGGCTTTCTTTTATTTATTTATCTGCCATATGATTGGTTGAATTTTATTTTATTTTTTTTTGATGAATGATATTTTTATTATAGAAAATTATTTATCCCTTTTTTGTAAAAAGAAATAAAAATAAGATGGACAGGATAAAATTTAAATAAAGGTAAAGGGCAAATTGGGTAAAAAATCATTATGGATGCTGTGCAGTTGTAATTTATTGATTCTTACTCAATAGTTACTTATATCAATATTTATAAGCTTTATTTTTAATTACATATTATCTGAGCATACAATTAAATATTTAACTCTTTATTTAAAATATTTATTTTACAAATTTAATATAAAAATTATAACAAAACATATATTCTACTATTTATAATAAGGAAATGTTTGAATAATATCTTCTAAAACATTTTTAAAAATATTTAATAGATTTATATTTTCTCTATTCTTTAAATAAATATATGTTGCTATGTATAATCTTTCATAAACTGGGACCTCCCAGATTTAACATATTTTGTTTTGAGGTCACGCCAAAGACGCTCTACAGACTGAGTATTTATGCTTTTATTAACTGGGTCCACAAATAAATATTATTTTCAAATAAATATTTTAAACATTTATTCTCACTATTAATATTATTAAAATTTAATAAATTCATTTTAAAAGAAAATATTAAAATTTTAAAAAAAATGTGTGTAAAAATCAGATAAATAAATAAAAGATAGCCAATGGTAATTATGGCTCACAAACCATAAATTATGACGACTCTTGATAATAAATTCAAATTCAAGGAAGTTGAATAAATAATAACCAATTTTAATACAAAGGATATTAAATTCGACAAATTATTTCAGAAATTCATTGCGTTAAATACAATATTAAAGATTTTAAAGGAGCATGTAACAAAAATTTTCTTTAAATTAATAGAAAATCTTTAATGAATGAGAATAAAAATAATTACTAATCTTTTCAATATTTTGTGTCTATATTTCTTATATAAAGGATAACTTTTTTTAATTATGGTTTAATTCACATATTTTTTGTTTGAATGAAGCTTGCAACCTTAGTTACCCATCCTCCCATCGTTTAAAAAAGATTTAAACGGTCGATGTCATTTTTAATTTAACGGCCGAATGTTAAAATAATTTGATTAGTTGGTTTAGTTCTTTATTTATTTTATTTTCATATATTTTTACTTAAACTTATAAAATATATGCTGCTTTGCCCATTGTTTTAAAATATTTTTAAGTCATCCATTCAATGTTAATATTTTTAAACCCCGCCCATTGTTCAAGACTGGATAGAACTTTCAAGAGGTATCGGTTGAGCCTGACTAAAAAAAATAAAATAAATTTCTTGAAACAACAATAAATAATAGTGGCGGGCCCTACCTGTAGCAAAATCAAACTAAGAATTCAAAACTGTTGGAGCAGCCATCGTCTAATAACAATTTCCTTTCAGCAAAAATATAAAAAAACTGACCTAACCTTTTTGATCCCAAAAATTGCATAATCCTTAAATATAGCATAAAAATGTAAAAATCTAAAATTATTATTTTACTTGACTTCCACTTCAATTAATAGATATAATTTTAAATAGCAATACTTACGATTTAAGCTTGTAATTTAGATAATTAAGCTATCAATCAAAAAAATTCGAATATATTAAATTAAAATAATATAATATTATTCAAATCCGATTAGAATATTAGTTATTCAAGATTGAGAAATTAGTTTTCGTAAAGCAAAATACATTTAATCAATTTTTTGATATTAAAAAGGCGAGTGAATCTGGCTATGCAATTAATTGTAATGTTAATATCATACCTCTTTTTCATAAAGCATCTCACGGAACTGTTTGAGTCTCATTTCGAGGGGTATTAGAGCCCTTTCTTTGGCAGCACGGGCTTCAGCTTCCAGAGCAGTATTGCCACTCGAACTATTATTGTTGTTAGTTGCAGTGGATAAATTCTCCTTTATTATTTCAATTTCCTCCTCCCCTTCATTCGACAATCTGAAATAAATTGATAATTCCGTTATTCAAGGTCCCAAAAAAATATTTCGACCTAAAATTTAAGTCTACTTAAAAAATGGGGGGATAATATGTATAGCATAATTTCCATATACAGACCTGACCCCGGTTCGTATAATATTTTATATTCTTTGGCATACGTTTCAAAAAATTGATTTGAGTCTCTAATAAAATTAAAAATCTTATTTTTAATATTTTATTGTGTACAAAACACTCTCGTATAAATTCTTATTAGTTTTATTTATAAATAAATAACAATTCATAACTATAATAGATAAAAAATTAAATATTTTAAATAATATTAACTTTTTATTTTTAAATAATAAATGCAATATACTTTGTTTTCTTAGAAGTTTGATCATTTGGGGAATCAATTTTATTTTTGGTTCCTATGCGTTTTATAAAAAAAAAGGGCGTATTAATTAAAACCTCCTATAATTTTACAAATTTATCAGCAGTTTTTGTTGAGTATATTATTTTAATTTTTACTAGTATAAAATCAATATAATCCGAGATAAATAGAATATCAGTATTAAATACAAAATTGGTTCTTTTAATCAGCAAAAAAAATTAGACCAGCAAAAATATAATTTGATCTTTAAAAAATAATTTGTTCAGTAAAAAAATCACTAATTAAATTGATTAGTAATAGAAGAAGTTAAGATAGAAGTGATGAGTAAACGGAGATGTAAGTTTCTCAAAATTGTGATATCTAGTAATGAATACATTAGATTGCTCTCAGTAAGTAACCTAAATATAAAAAACTTATCACCTTGATCAGTCTCGTTGATTTTTAGTACAGCAGGTGGAGGGTTGGCCAGCAACTCGTCAATTTCTTTTCGCCCTTTCAGATCATCTGGTTTGTCCCATATCGATACTCTGGTAGTGGGATTGAAAAAAAATACTTTACCATCCCCTGTCCACACAACGCACCTATAAAACACAAAAACAATGCAAGTTATTTTGGAATGCCTTACTATGTAAACTAATAAGCGTGTATGATGAGTATAGAAATATTGTATTATAAAAAATTACCAAGGAGATCCAGATATAGGTGTGCTAGACACTGGTTTCGATTTGTCCCTAGGTTTATCAGGTGGTGGAGCGTGCTCGCTTTTAGTAATCGATACTATCTTATTAGCCTACGTGAAAATATTTTCAATAGACAAACCATAAATATTATGATGATTATAAAATTAAAAAATATGAAGTGTTTGCAATGGACCGGTCAGACCGACGGTCCGGTTCAGTTCGGACTCATCTGACTATTGGGTCCGACGGTCCGGTCCGACCGAAGACCGATTAAAAAGATAAAAGTTTACTGTGAATTGCTTTTTAGTTAATGTAAATGTACATTAACACATAAAGCATGATTATTTAATGCCTAACACTTTATAGTATCTATTCATTGTTTACTTTTTTTATTCTTCCGTTTAATTCATTCGTCATTTAATTTATTAGAAATGGAAATCGAAATCATAGAAGATGATAAATATTATTGAATCACCACCCTCAGCCAAAGAATAACTATTGATTTCGAGAATAGTATTAGTAGTGCAAATGAAAAAAATCGATCAAATTCAAATTTGAAAATATGTTTAAGAATTGTATAAATTTTTTGAAAGGATAATTCTGGGAAAACGTGTAAAATATGTCTCCATTGCTTAATATTATATTAAATAAATTTGTATTGGCTTAATCTTTTTTAAAAATGATTTGATGATCTAATTAAAATATTGGTAATTTAACACATTTCATTTTTAATATATTTCTTGCAGAATAAAACTTTTATAGCTTAACAAACAAACATTTTTTAAACGGGACCGGCTGGCGATTGTCCCACGGTCTGGTTTCACTTGACTTAACGGTCCATCGGTCCGATCTCATAAATTGATAAGGTACTATTAATCTTTTTCAAATTTCTTTTACTTTCATAAATTTCAGGAGTCAAATATAATTGTATTTAAAGGTCTCAATTTGCATTTTAAAAAGTGTCTGTCCTTAATTAAGTGTATTCATTTTAAAAATATGAATATTTGTGATGAAAAATGTTCAATGGCAGACATTAGGGCGAACTAATCGTGTTAGGCGATAATTCTCCTACAATGTTAGCTTGATAAGGAGATAAATTCCGTGGGAGAGATTAAGATAGATGATAATGGTAATGTATAGGGGTGGTAGGTGAATTCTAAAGGGACGCGAGGTACAATCCCATAGAGAATAAGGTAAAATAAACTATTAATAAAAGCAAATGAAGCTCAGGTAAAAGAGGAGAAAAGATTAGAATACGTTTAGTAAATAGGGCCAGAACCTGGGTTGAGTATTTGACCGGTCAAATATGATTTGGTCAATTGACCGGTTTTTAAGACAAATTGATTTTTAAAATTCTATAATTAATGTTTCGCTATCCATGGCAAAGTTTTGTTCTGATTTATATTCAATATTATTATTTTCTTTAAAATTTTTAATCAATCTTAGGTTATGATATACTCTTGCCAATTTTCAGGTTGTCGAGATCTTCCACCGATTTCTTTTCTTCGTATGAATATTACCCCATTGTTAGTAAGGTATTGTGTACTTTTCTTAATGTTCAAGGTAGGCAAAGCTCATTCCAAAAATTTGAGGCCGAAATCTGATTGTTTTTTTGTAAGTTACTGCTTTCCTCATTTTTGGCTACTTAAATACCGCCGCTTTTACTTCTGAAATTTATGATATCACTTGAAATATTTTGATTATCATTATCTTGTAAAATGCCTAATTCTTATATCACGTGTTTCATAAAACTTAGTACTAGTAGTAAGATACTCCCCTTATATTGTGGATCCAATAAATAATCAGCTGTGCGTGAGCACATGTATTTAGATTGTTTTCTTTCAAACGTATCTTTAAAAAATTTTATCTTCAGGTAGGGAAATTATAAAATCATAGCATGATTGCTTGTTTTCCAAATATAGCATCTCGTTTTTACGTGGGATAAGGTAGATATCCCTTTGATCTTACAACAATAAGATAGCCAAATGTTAAAGATAATTCAAAATTTTAAATTCCTTATCCAAAATATTTCTTTATTTAATATATTATTGGTAATTCCTAAATTTCCAACTTCTTCAACAGCTGCTTTCACAGCTCTCTTGCATATTTGTATTTGCTCCTTACATTTTATTGACGATGCCCATCTTGTTTGGATAATTGTACATAATGTAACATAAATTGGCATATTGATTTTTTCAAATCATGCTTTATTATTATACTCATTTATATATTGGGATTTAATCAAATTATTAATAAGAAAATTCTTTTATTTTTATATGAAATTCTAATATTTTAATAAATTGTAACCTTAGAATAATAAACATGCTTTAAATATATATATATTACTTAATTAAATCAATATACTTATTCACCAACAATATTTTTGAGTATTTTAATGTATTTGATCTAGTCAAATACTCCTCCGGTCAATTATCTGAATTTGGAGGGTCAATTGACCGCCTAGCCAACCCTGGCTAGAACAAATAAAGTTGTGAATTTTAAAAACAAGTTACTTTTAGAATATTTAAGGTCCAAAAAGAGACATTCATTAAACAAAAACAATTTTAAAATAAAAAACCAAAATCAAAACTCGAATTTTTTTATCAGCCCTAGTCAGAATATTGATTAAATTTGATATTATTTTAAGCATTCATTAATTAATGTAAACAGTTGGTAAAAGCCATTTTTTTATCTACTTTTGTATTCACTAAGTTCTAATCTAGTCTTTATTATTGTAACCAAAGATCCAAACCGAACCGTTAAACCGCTAAAACCAGTATTTTTTATATCGAACCTAAACCGCTAAAAAATTATAGCCGAACCTGAACCGAACCGCTAAAATGCCTCTGAACCGGTTCGAGCCTCGTGATTTTATGCTTATAAAATAATATGCAAGTTATTATTAGTTTATTGAAAAAATTTCAATTATATTCTTATTATCTTAAAGATTATCATCAATCACGTTTGATTGATGAGTGTTAATTTTTGTAAACTAGTAAATTGTCATTTAACAACATTTTCCTCTAAGCTTATGAATTATAATGCTTAGAGAAAAATTAAATCCAAAATATTATTATAAATCACATATCAAATCTGATATCATATTGGCAGTGCCGGCTACCAGAGTTAGGGTGGACTATGGAAAGATGTTTTTCAACAATTAAATTTATACTATCTCCTTATAGATGTAATTTGAGTGGGACGAATTTTGAAAATATATTAATTGTGCGGCTTAATAAAAAAAAAGTAAAATATTGTTCATATTAAATTTATAAATTAAATTTTATAATGTGCAATTAATAAAAATGTAGGTTTTATATATGTATTTTTTAAATTAATGTTAAATAAAAAAATATTTTCCCTATACATAATTCGAATGTAGGTTCGAATACAAAAGTGTTCAAACCGGTTTTTAGAGGTTCGAACCGAACCGATATTTTAATTTTTTACGAACCGAACCTGAACCGTTATTTTTATCCGAACCTGAACCGATATTCGTTTCGGTTTGGATCCCTGATTGTAGCATTTCTTTTATAATAAATTTCAAAAAAACAGACAACTATTTAAATATTATGCATTATCATGTGATAAACATAATGCTTTATTTATGATTGATTAAATATATAGGACCCTATAATAATTAAAACATTGGGCTAGAACGTTATTTTATTTGATAAAAAAACATGTATAAAATTAATTTTGTGTGAGGGGTTGAGGGGAAATCTAAGAATAATATTTTTCGGCCCTAGCTCAATTTTGATCAAAAGTGGACATAATCCAATAATATATAGACAGCAAAAAAATATATTAATAGTATGAAAAATATAAAATTTTATATACAACGAAAATAAATTATATATTAATTCACATGGATGATTCTTAAATCGGAAAATATTAATTATCAAATAATTTCATCGTTATCAAAGGGCGAAATTTTTTTTTAAAAAAATGATATTTTTTGGAAAATCCAGGATATCCAGAAACATTTTTTTCCAGGATAAAAACTTTGCCTTTTAAGAGACGATCGATAAGCCTATTTTCAGGAATTATCTCGCAAAAATACAAAATAAATGTAGTCCTAAACATTAAATATAATTTTTTAGTATCGACACCAATACCAAAATTTATCAATGCATCTGAAAGATATTATGCTAAAATAAATTACTTTCGCATCGCTTTCATTTTCCTTTTTAGCTATACATCCTATAGGTTTCTCCCAAGTGGACTCCTTAGTTTGATTGTGGTAATAATAAATTTTTCCATCAGGCGTTTTATGTTCGGTCCAACCACTTTCAAGTTCGTTTTGATTTGTCTAGCGACATAAATTAGTTGTTTTTTGGAAAAATTTTTTAAAGGTTTTAAAAAATTACCATCAATTTACCCATTAATTACAAAAAAGGTTAAAATTTTATGTAATAATAAACAAGAATATTATACTTGTTTGATAGGAGTTTTCTCTTGGGCTAAAAAATAAAAATATTTAATTATAATCATTAATTTATACATCTTTTGTTGCACATACTAAATTATAACTCGCTCGGATGTTATAAATCAATTTATGAGTTTTAGTTAGTTAAATCTTTTAAAGATCGTATTTAAAGGCTTAGAACCAGAACCATATCAAAAATTGAACCCGAAGCCTTTTTAGAATTTTATATTATTATTAAAAACTTTTCTCGAGGAACATTTTTAAATATTCTGTGCAAAATTTCCATTTAAATGATTTATCACCATTTTGTAATTTATTGTATTATTAAAATAAAGGAAACTGGTATTGATTATTATATTTTAATAAATTTTAGTCCTTTTGTATAATCCAAGATTTCGAGCCTAGTTATTTTTTTATTGAAATTGAACTTGAGTCCAAAGCCATACTGGGACTAAAAAATTTAATTTTAAATAAAATAATTTAAGATAAAATGTTATTGAATTCCTTTAAGATTCGGACAAAACAATTAGTGATTTTTATTAATTTTATAAAAATGCACTTAATTATATTATCAGTAAAAAATATCGGGCAGGGCATAAAAGTCCATAAAAATTATAGGCCGAAAAAATTGAGTGCGCCAATTCTTAAGATAATATTTTATGGGTTTAGAAAAGATTTTCAGAATTTAATTGTAATGTAAATTCTACCTTCTTGACTATAATTTCTTATTTTTATTTCAAAATATGATGGGCTCAATTTCCTGATAAAGGAAAGAATCGAAAAAGTCTTTATTAAATTTTGAGGTCATTCTCAAATCAAACACTTATAAATCAATCTTTGTAAAAATTTGTATGCAGGCCATATATGTAGTAGACAAATTGAAAACAAAATTATAGCTAATTAGCTTATTTTAGGAGATTACAAAATTGATCATTTTTATCTTTTAACATGTGAGATAATTATTTATAACTCAATTTGAATATTAAATTTTATATTGATGATTAATAGGGAGAAAACAAAAATGCTGCTTTTGTTTTCTAATTATCAGTCAGACTTATTTACAAATATAAAATGTAATATTCAAATCGATTTAGTTTTTAATTAATGAATAATAACATCGGGAAAGGGTAAATTTTTACACCTTTCCTTCATTATAACGAATGATATGACTGATACCGAGCTAAAAATTCGTTTGTCTATCTAAAATATTTATTAAAATTAGAGGTGGCTGAAAATTTCATGATTTAAAGTTTCTCTTCTGCTCCAATCAAATAGACGAGAAAGACAGAAGTTGAAGTTCTAATAAATTCATCTAAATGATGAAGAAAACGGTTAAATTATACTCAAAAGTTTTCTTATATTTGAAAGAATTTCAAAATTGTTAAATAATTTGAAGATTTATTGAAGATCAGAGATTTTTTGATCAAATTTTATATGAAAATGTCAAAATCTTTTATAAGTAAATATATTGTAATTTTCCTGTATAAAAAATCTTTCAACATGAAATAAAAAAAATTTGAAGATTTTTTTCACATTCTGCATTTTAGTTTTGCCCCATTTTAAATTCAGCCGATGTAATTTTATTATAATTTAATATTTGAATCATTTAAATATAATTTCAAATAAAAAAAACAAAATGCATTTATCATGATAATAATATATAATTCTTTCGGCCTGATCCTGTTTTATATCTAGGCCCGGTCGATTGCAGCCCGAATTTATAAAAAAGATTATAGGGAAAAAATGTCAAATTAAAAATATTTATTTTATTCTCTATTTTAATGTTTATCTATTTATTACAAAACTTATAAGAAAATGTATATTTCTTGTTTTCGTAAGTTCTTTTATAATTGTGATATTCAATCTAACATTATATGAAACCTTAAACATTATAAAATAGTTATTTTACTTAAGGATTTATGAGAGGAATTAGAATCTATGCTATATATTTTAAAAAGACTTATTTTTCTTAAAATGCAAAATTAAATAATTAAAAATAATTTGAGTTTTGCATAACTATATAGAGAAAGATAATCACTGGTCTCTAAATTTATTAAAGATAACATTGCATGCAATAGTGGAATAACAAGGGTGTCAACAAACTTTGTTACCTAGATTTAAAAAAAGGTTTATCAGAGGTAGAAGTAATGTGATTGGCATGGCTCACCTATTATAGAACATAGAAAGTAATTAGCTAGGCTGTGAATCCTAATTATAGTTCAGAAATTTAAAATTATTTGGTTGGATATTTTAACAACCCAGACCAATCAGGGACTTATTAATAAACAACCCGTCGAACCCAGAGTATTTTTGGACAGGGTGAGTTTGGACCTCTTTCACAAAATAAGTCCGCTTAAATTTCTGTAATCAACATCTTTACTAAATTTAAAATCACTGATCCTTAATAAAGGTTCACATCTTTGATATGTCTGAGGTGTAATACACCCCACCTGAGTCCTGAAGGTAAATAAATAAATTAATAATTCGAGTCTAATCAATGTCCATAGTTTTAATAAATTAATCAAAATCTTATAAGATAAAAAATAATATATTTCATTATATTTATCAAAAAATTTTTATTCTTTATATTTGTAAATTACCATCAATTTTAGTGTTCATTTTCTTATTTTGATTTGTAAGAAAAGGAGGTGGACCAATTTTTAAGTTGCTTGATACAATCACAGGGGTCTACAATGTGTTTATATAAGTACATGAGTTACATATTTCTAATATTATACTTGATTCTGCTGGATTGAAGATTGCATTTTACTAGCTAAAATATAGTTTTTTTTACAAATTAATTATATTCTATATTATATCATAATTATAAAAAACATATTTTAAAGATCAGCCAAGTCCAAATATGATTCTTGATTTTTATAGATTTTTAGCCTAGCTTGTTAAACTATTTTGTCGAATTTAGCCCAGCCAACAAAGATTTTAAGGGTTATGAAGTCCATGATAAAACTAAGTTAATAAAATAAAATGCTCAATTTTTGAGTGTAACCTTTTTAACGAAATTCCTGGTCAGTCCAAAATGTCAAAATATTTTGGGGGAGGATTTGCATCATACCAAAAATCCCCATAATTTGTTAAAAATTATTCTTTAAACATCTATTCCTTCAGCTTTGATTAATACCTCCATCAACATTTTTATAAATGTATCAAAGTAAACATCAAAACAAAACATGTATATCTTATTACTTTACAAGAATAAAAAATAAAGATTATTTTGAAAATTATATTAGTCTTTGGTTTCACATGATACCTTTTTGATGAGACGATACCCCCAAAAAAAATTTCAAGATCCGCATGTGAATATGTTATATAGTCAAATCTCGTAATCAGTGAATGTGTATTACAATAATCAAGTTGCGTGATATCTTAAATATGGGATAGATATTCAACAGATGTTGGAATATATTTCCGAAAAAATTAGATTATTAAATTGAAAAAATGCCCTAAAAAAATATTTTAAAGTAAGCATATATATAATATAATAATTTGTTTACAGGGTTTTTAACTTTTTAATAAACTAATTTTAATTTTACAAAAATATATTCCAATATTTTTATAATACCTATCCTATAGTAAGATAATTTTATTATAACTTTTAAATTATATAATGGCAATACGCATATTGACTAGGATTTAAATCAACCGATATACGAGAATTGACTGTAAGATATATAATGTATAAAAGTTATATATTATTTTAAAATATTAAAACATAACCTGCAATTAATTTAGATGTATTAGAAGCAATTCCTTCAAGTTCTAGCTGTGTAATAATTCTTTTACCTATAGGTTTTTCCCAACTTGTTTCTCGTGTTTTGACATTGTAATAATAGCTCTTGAAATTTAAAATTTAGAAGTTATATTGTAAATATTCAAAAATAAACAAAATCTCAAAAAAAAATTTTGCTTTAAATTTTCAAAAGCTTCAATTTGAATAACTTTAAAGAGCAAATTTTAAAATTCAAAAAACAATCCCACACTTTTCATTTTTGACTTTCCCGGCACACGCAAAAGTATAATATATTTAAAAGCGATTTCAAGATGAACATTGGAGTTTTTCTAAAAAAATATATGCATTTCTATTTTAAATAAATAGTTGTCGGAATAATCTTAATTGACTCTTTGAAAAATTTGGATATTGCCACAATTAAATATGACAATTATGGCTGCACGATTCTGGGCCGGTTCAGGGTCGATATGTACTTTTTATAAAGAATTCGGATCAGTTTAGTGTTGTTAAATCGCTTTTAAAACGGTTAGTGGTTCAGTTCCTTGGAAATCGGTTTTCCGGGATGTATATGTTGTTTTCAAAAAATGGACAATATCAAGAATTTTCTGAATCTATTCAAGTTTTATTCATAAAAAACCATTTCCTACGTCTCATTAAATATTGTTCACCATTAACTACGTTAAATCTAGAATGTAGGTTTAAACTACGTTTTGGAAGTCCTAAAAATCTAACCTGCCAAAAAGGACAAACAATGCTTTCATTGTCGAATTTCTGTAGTCAGTCAGTAAGTCTAAATTAGATTAAATTAATATTATAATTTTTATTTATTCCATATATTTATTATATTCTACAATAGTCTTTAACTATAATTAATACTAATGGTTATCATACATTTATTTTTTATTAAAAATTATTCTTTGCTCTTGTAAATATTGTTGAAAGAAAATAAAAAATCCAGACAACTTTAGTTCCTTGTGAACAATTATTTAAAGCAGGGGGCAATTTAGTAAGTAAAAAATATTTTATCAAGCAAAATGATAAAATCCATCATATGAATTGGTATTGGATCATCTCAAGCATGAAATTTTTGGTGAAAATTTCCAATCAAATCAAAAATCCGGACCTCTGTGGACTTTATATGTGTTATACACTTCAATAGAATTGGTCCTGCAGTTCGGCTTTAGAAAATTGGCTAAAAACCAAGCCAAAACATGACCTTCTCTAGTTGTAGGTACAAAAATGATGCCTCTTTTGTTAAACGGCTCGTTTTGAGCCGATTTTTTAAAACGGCTAACTCTATTTTTTAGGCAGAAAAATATTACCTAAGCCTTGAGATTTCGATAATATATGCCTAGACAGTTGTTCCTTCTATGAGCAAAATCTTCAGGCTTGAGTTATATTATTCTGGATAAAATAGTGAGTTAGCCGTTTTTAAAAATCGGCTCAAAACGAGCCGTTTAACAACACTACTCTTAAGTTCAGTGTACGGTTGTTATTTTGATTATTTTTCATCAGATATGAAGTAATAGGAAGGGATGGTCAGATTTATTAAGGTGAATCTACTAAGGTCAGGCACGGATAGTTTAACTGTTTAATAATGTTATTTCCTTCTATCAAAATTTGTAACAATAATCATGTGTACGTATAATCACAAAAAAAGTAAAAGTTTAGCTAACCTTTTTAAAAATCTGCTCAAAGATTTCGACAACACTATAAAAATAACTTTTGAATAATTGACTAGACTAATATACTCTTGATCAATTGACTGTATTTGATTGGTCAATTGACCGATTTGCTAACCCTAACAAAAAAGGCTTTTAAATTGAATTTTATTAGAAAATTTAATATACATATTCCACAACATGGCATTCCAATTTTTATATACAGATTTGCTTAAAATTTTATAAAAATTATAGAACCTTATTAATTTTACAAGGATTTTTAACTTTAGTTTTAAGTATATCTTTAATTAAAACAATTGATAAGCATACAAATAAGTCATTTTTACATGCTAACTCTTAATATTTCCAAAAATATAAAAGGAAGGATGCTAAAATGATGTGAATACTATTTTATTCATACTAAAGCTTACATAAAAAATTTCAACCAAATCTAAAGGGGTGGGTGATTCATGATCAATTTAACATGGAAGGACCTATATATTTAATTAATTATAATATATAATTTTTTTTAAAGGCATGTATATTTCCGAACCTTTCCTTCTGAGCCAATTGGAGTCTCAACCCATACCAAACCAGTCAATAAATCTTCGGGTGTTAAAAATTTGGTCAAGATATCTTGATTATGACCATTAAATAGTTTGTCTTTTTCCTCATTTGTAAGCATCTGGTTATGAGATGACATAGCATTGTTGTAAGGAGGTGGAAACCTGCTCATCAATTGAGGTGATAAATTGGGAGCTAAGTTGGTGTTATTTAACATGTTAAACCTCATTTGAGGTGGCATCCCCTAACATATATAAGTTATAAAAAATGTTATCTTGAGGTATTTAAACATGAATAACATAACTAAATATTATGGTCATTCACAGTGTTGTCAAAAGGCTAACTCAATATTTTTGGTCAGAAATATCTTGCCTAAGGCTTGAGATCAGGCCAATAGATGTCCAAACCTTTGTCCATCTTTGAGCAAAATCTTTAGGCTTGCATAATATTTTTCGAGATAAAATATTGAGTTAGCCCTTATTAAAATCAAGTCGTTTAATAACACTAGTCATTCTATTATAAATCACAGAGTTATTAAAGAGCGAGCTACTTGTAGTGTGCTATCTTTTTTGGTAACTAAAGCTAATAGCGGCTACTTTCTTTGTAATTATTTAATTTTTTAGGCTACTTTCAAAAAATATAATGAAGTTAACTATAAACATAAAATTTTAAATATAATATCATAATTAATTAGAATTTTTATGGTTTATTATTTAATTTTGAAATTGAAATATAATTTTAATTTGTAATTTATATTTTCATTTGATTTATAAACCTAAATCACGTGTAAATAATTTAAAATGTTATGGATATCCAAATCGTTGAAAGTGATTCAGATAATGATATTAATGAAATGAAAGATACCAGGGAATAAAATGTTCTTAATAGCTATAATACAAATTTTCCATTCCCTAGATTTGAAAATTTTTTTAAAATAAATATAAAAAACAAAACTGGCTTCAAATTTATTTGTTTAAAATGTAAAAAAAATATTTCCTCAAATCAATCCAGTTATAACCTCAAGAAACACCTAAAGGTAAATTGTCATTTTTACATTCAAATATTAATTATTTTATAAGACTCCAATAGTTTTAAGGAAATGATAAAACATCTAAGAAATTTTGGTTTAGGCGACTCTACATCCAAAAAGACTAATTCAATTCAAACCAAATTAATTAATAATACAAATGCCAATATTTCTCAGAAATTTGATAGTTATTGTTGATTTTATAATTGACACAGTTCAGCCAATGTCCTTGATTGATAATCCATCATTTACCATGATGATTAAAAATCTATCCACGTACAACAATTTTATGTCGCCAGACACTAATGAATAAAATAGCAGATAACTTTAAAGTGATGAAAAATGCTCTAATAGTAGAGTTATCAGAGATATATTATATATGTACCATGACAGATAGTTGGACACATACACAAGGTAAAAACTTACAACAAATTACTATAAATATTTATTTTTATTACATAAATTTTTTTATAATCAATACTAACTATATTTTAATATTTATAAATTTTGATTTTTATATATTTACTATACAAAAAACATTATAAGCTAAAAATAAAACAAATTTGTTTCTAAATTTTTTTTATAAAAAGTAGCTTAAAAGTAGCTAAGCTACTTTAAAAAAATAGTAGCTAATAGCTCGCTAATTTTTTTGACAAATAGCGATAGCGGTAGCGAACTCTAATAAATCGCAATAAAAAAGAACCATTTTCGGAAGCATCTTTCAAATCAAATATAATTTTACAAAATAGATATGTTGAAAAAATTATTGCAATAAAAATTTTATTGCTATAGCTCTCTAAGTTTTCCGGAGATATGAGGTTTAAGGTGTAAAAATGTCACATTGCTCAATTTTACACACTAAAATATAAATAATTAAAATCGTTTATTTAAAAAAATTATATGTCTTAAAATGATTACTCGTCGGTTATTTCTGTTTGTAAGGGTAATTTAGAATTTAAAGACAATTAGAAATCTGATATTTTGACAGCTAATTTTTGTAGTAGTTATTTATATTTGATGTAGGTCATTATTATTTGTTAGATATCTTATTTTTATGATTATAAAATATTATTAATAAATTTATATTTATTTTGGCGAATATATAAGCGGTGAAAAAAATCATAGTTACTTTTTTGATTTTTCTTTGCTTTCTTCTGTTTTTGATGCTTGCCTTTTAGATTTGTGGTTTTATTGTGAAATTAGTACAAAATTTAGCAAAGGTAAACGTTATTTATATTTTTTAGGGAAGGGGAAAACAATAATACATATAAACCGAAGAATTTAGTGATAAACATAAGAGAATAAAACCTATATGGATAACAAAATTATCAATATTTATCATCACTTCCCAGAAAGGGCAAAATTTTAACATAGGCGACGTGTTTAAAATTTCTAAAATCTTGTAGGTTGTTTATCCCCACATTATAGTAGAAATTGAATGGGCCGAGCTATTATTCCTAAGGGTCCTCTTTACTTTCAAAAACTCGAAAAAATTAATTTTAAATATTGTGTTTTATGTAAAATATAGTTCAATCTCCCAGAGTTATAATTATTATAAAGTTCTATCATTTTAGCCAATCATAAACCATATTTTTATCAGAAATGCATTATTTCCACTTTTATAATTGTTGTATTTATTCATTTTTTTAAATAATTAATTCCTTGTTTTTATTAATTTTTTTTATATTGTTATTAATTACTTTTTTGAATATTATAATAAGTTATTATTGTGGTGTTTATTCATTTTTTTAAATATTGAATTCCTTTTTTTTAAATTTTGAATATTATAATTAGTTATTATTATTATTATATAATAATTTTAGTTGGGCATTGTTAGTATATGTTAAAATTATTAATTTCTTTCGTTATTCAAAATTTTTTTTGGTTAAAAAAAATGTTATTTGAATATTAAAAGAAAAAAGATATATATACGAAACAAAATCATTTTAAAATTCAATTCACCAATTATTATTCAATTCTATTTCAAAATAAAGTTACCCGTACTTCTAAATACAAAAAAAGGTTTGATGTTATATATATTTTAATATTTATTCTTCCTTTTTTTTATAATAATCAATTTCAAAATATAACAATAATAATACCAATATGGTCGACCAATACCGAAATTAAATTTTTATAAAATGTATAATCTAAAAAACTTAAAAATTAGAAAATTCTCAGTCTTTATATCCATGAAAATATTTTTTGGATTTTATTTTAAGATATAATATGCCTGTAAATTTCAATGAAACCTAATAATTTATTTTTTTGTATGAATATCCATCATAGCAAAGTTAATTTTGCAACAAATATGAGGATCATTCCATGACAAATCAACCACGATTCGGCCGATCTACTAAGAATTTTATAAAATTTGGTAAGCAAAGAAAGGTTAATGTAGTTAAGAAATAGCCAAAATTTTAGCCTCGTAACATTTATATTATTGAAGATATTAGGGTTCAAAGTGGCAAAAATGACATATTTTTACCATTATCTGCCTTAATTCAATTAAGCATATCTTAAAAACTACAGAATTTTATAACAAATTTAATATCAAAATTACGTACAAAGATTCTACTTTCAGATAAAAAAAATTTTTAATTTTTTTTACAATTTCCGGTTATTTTATTTAATATGCAGGGACTAAAAACAATTTTTGGAAATAATACGACCTTCAATTTTTTAAAAAATTTAGTAGCATTACTAAACTCTTCCTCTATATTTATAAAAAAATTGATCTGGGACGCGACCATCTTCATTCTCAAAATCGATAAAATTGTTTAGAAAAGTGTTATTTTCCTGAAAGGGGCCGTGTTTGCATAAAATTATATATTAATCAGTTTTTAATGGTTTTTCTTGAACTATTTAATATAATTTAAAGGATTATTCATCTTGTAAGTGAAAATAACAATAAATGGGGCATCCATTCAATTATAGAAATTGTCTATCGATAAAAGAAATTCAATTTATTACTTTATTTATAATTTATTATAAAATTTTTTGCTTGTATAACATATATTTAATGAATATTAATAAAATATATTCAACCAAGTATAGTTCTTGAATATATGAATCAGAATCTTGTGCATTTCATATATGGCCCCCTAAATATCAAAAATTATTGATATAATATAAATTTAAAAATCTAATATATAATTCACTTTTAAAAGATTCTAATTTTTTGGTAGCGCATTTACTTTCTTGTGACAACAATGTATAGTTAAGGCCAGTAGCAGTTAACAGTGAAACTAATGTTAAGATATGACATTTTGGAAAGTAAAGAGTGTCGTCTATACTTGAAAATGTAAAGGAATTAGAAGGTCCGGATGGGTATAAAAATTTTATATATATTTTTTCCTGCTTCTGATTTTTCCCCAAAAATTATACTTTCATCATTATATGATAAATATTCTATAAAGCTTTCTATTGAATTGAATACATTTTACTTTTAAATTGATTAAACCTATCACGGCGTAAATTTTCTGTGTTCCAGGCAGGGTTTAACATTTGCTCAAAATTCAAAAATCTTCACAGATCGTTGCTCTTTTGAAGATCAAAAAATGCGAAGATTTTTTCGCTAAAAAAAATTTTGAGCTTGCTCAAAGAAGATTTTTGAGCAAAATAAAAAATATTTTTTGTAAAAAAATCTTCTATAATTTTGAGAAAATATTTTGAGAATTTTATAATAAAATAAAATCTTTTGTAAGGAAATCTTTATTAAAATATTTTTGAAATTTTGATCTTAAAATTTTTTGGTAAATTCTTTAAAAATAAAATTTTTGATATATATTTTTTTTTATTTTATTATGTTAATGAAAATATTTTTTTTGAATAGGTTGTGAATGTGAGAATTGGTCATAATACCGACTGCATTTTTTTTAATATTTGGAATAAGTAATAATGATTATTTTAAAAATGTAATGTCATAATTTTAATGTTTTATATTTAATGTAAACTATAAAAGTGACAATTGTCATAATACTCATCTCAGAACCTTTAAAAATAATTATAATTAAAAAAGGCTAGTTGAGCATGTTTTGAGATGGTTTCAGTGATTGTAAAGCATATAAAGGTGACAATTGTCATAATACTTATTTCACATATGTTTTAATTGGAAATAGAGAAAAATGATTATTTCAACATGAATTAATATAATGTGTAAACTATAAAAGTGACAATTGTCATAATATTCATAACAGAACCTATAAAAATAATTT